GAGATTCACTTAATTTTTAAAAAGTCTTTGTGTCATGTATGTCTTGTGCCCTGCCTGGTATAGTAGCCTACTTTTTACACTAGCCATTGCCATGGCAACGAGATTTCTGCAGACAACAGCTCACCTCAGCTGTGCTGAGCATCTCTTGCTTTCTAGAATATTCTAAATGCCTTCTCTGAGGCATTTAAGAATTGATGCCCATGGGTGCTCACTCTGCACAGTGCATGCATGAAGTATGAGAGAATCGACCTCTCTGGGGAAAGATTGGCCAGTAAGGGCAAGAGTTGGTGGAGAAATTATTCTCTGCTCTGCACCTCAGGTGCACAGCTCCTCAGAGGGAACAGTGTGGTGGAGGCAAACAGCTCAGTGACACACACTGACTGTGCCCTGTGCCCCATTCTGCTCACGCACCCCTCCTCTTCACGTCTCTTCCTCAAACCTCAGCTCTATGCAGAATGTTTTCTCAGATTCTGCTCAGACTGAGACAATATTCTACATGACTTTAAAAATACTTCTTATAAATCACCTCAAGTATAGGAATGTAAAGAAAGGGATATCTACCACAAAGGTTGTTAAGTTTTAAGATTTCACTATAGTATATTTGCCAGGTTTTTTTTGTTTTTGTTTTTGTTTTGTTTGAGACAGGGTCTCTGTCACCCAGGCTAGAAGTGTAGTGGCCTCTCGATAGCTCACTGAACCTCAAACTCCTGGGCTGAAGCCACCTTCTTGCCTCAGTCCAGCCTCCAGCTACAGGCACATGCCACCACACTGACCAATTTTTCTATTCCTTTGCAGAGACAGGGTCTCCTTGCTCAGGCCGATCTCAAACTCCTGGCCTCAAGTAATCCCCCACCCCTTGGCCTTTCCAAATGCTAGGATTATAGGTAGAGCCACTGTACTTGACCCTTGCTTTTTTTTTTATTTAAAGAAATAAAAATGTTCATTTAAAGCTCTGTATGGTTCTCCTTAGCACGAGGTCTCTTCTTCTCTTGTTGGAAATGACTGCTGCAAAATTGAATGTTTATAAACAATATAGAGACTGGAAACTTTGTGAGTGCTGACACAACATCAGAGGAAGTCCTCATCACAGTATTTTAGGTTTCAGATCTTCCAATTTAGAATCATTGCTAAATATAATGCAAATACTTCAAAATGCAAAAAATTCAAAATTTAAAACACATCTGGTCCCAAATGTTTTGGATAAGGAATACTCACCCTATATATCGCTGCATTTATTTTATCTTCTTTAATATAGTTTCATAAAACTTTATAATTTTCTTTCTTTTTTTTTTTAAGGCTACTGATTTTTGATTTTGCTGAATAGGTCATTAAAAAGATACAAGAACTATCACTTATTATTTTCAATTCATACAGAAAGAACATCCTCACAATCGAAAAGGAAAGGCAAAGGTCATTCTTTTAAAAAGGTTTTAATAAATTTAACTTTATGAAAAATTATCTGTATTGTCTTGATTTTTCTTTTTTTTTTTTTTAATTGAATGGTAACTATGTACACTAATGCACTTCTGGGGTACAGTGTGGGGTTTTCACATGCAATCCGAAATACTTCCATCAAACTGGTCAACGCAGCCTTCATGTCATTTTCTCTGTTATTGCTTTATAGTTTTCTATATAAACATCTTGTGTATAGTTTGTTAAATTCATTCCTATCTGCATTGTGGCTATAAATTTATTTTCTTAAAAATTTTATCTGTAGTTGTTTTAAATTGATGTGTAGGAAAATTATTCATTTGGTGTCTTAGTCTTTTATTCAGTAGTCTTTTTAAACCCCTCTTTCTCTAACTTTACAAAAAAATGGCTAAATTTGCATTTTTAACTCCCCCATCTTTTCTGCCCTCCCTGTACACAGAGCACAATGTCCATGAAAGCAAAGATCTAGTCTTCCTTGTTCCCACCCCTATTCCAAGTGCCTAAACCTATACCTGGCTCATAGAGGGATTCAGCAGATATTCATTAGAAGAATTAGTTAATGAAGTTCCTTATTTTGGGCTGAAGAAATAATGCACACACGGTATATCAAGGCAGTGAGACACACATTGCTCCTCTTTGCTGGAATGTGCTTCTCGTTCTCTCCTGATAAGCCTCATTCCCCTCCCTCAGCCCAACGGCAGGTTCCCCAGATGATCGTGCTCCTTGGTGCTACTGGGCCTGTGCTCCCTCCTTCTTGGAAACCAGGCAGGTGTATCTGTCTTTCAAAGGCTTGTTCTGATCTTACTTCTTTCAGGAAATTTTCTTGGATTTTCCCATACTTCAGAAAGATAGATCCAGAAAACAAAAACAAAAAGAAAATAAGAATTAAACATTACCTGTATGTTCCAGCAGAACCTAAGCCTTAAAACAGATCATCCAAAGTGATACGGAAAGATACACAGAGCAAATGACATTATGGTGGACACAAAATGCTGGTGCAGTCTGGGAAAGGAAATTTATTCATGAATAACAGATAGAAAGCCAAGATCCACCAATATATCATAATGTCAACAACTAGAAGGAGTGGGGACACTAGCTCGAGCCGCCCCCACACTCAAACAGTGAGTCAGAAGAAAGAAGAGGACAAAAAAAATCCATTTTGCATTGATGCTGTTCGCTCCTGTGCAGTTTTCTAAGTAGCGTATTCTGTGAGTGAAAACAACATATATTTGATTCTTTTATTCCAGGCTTTTAAAAATCACTTCAGTTTTCCTTTTCTGATAAATGTTTTACGAGTTCCCTTTTCTGATGAAAGATTTTGCTGTGATTAAAGATTTCATGAAGTTATGGCAATGGTGGAATAGATCTTCATTCTTTGAAGCTGTTTTGTGTGTGATCTCAGGAAGGAGCCCTCTTGTCAGAACTGGGGAATATTTTCCAAGTTCTGAGCCTCTAGGGAAGATCCTCTATCCCCCAAGTCCCAGGAGAACCCTCTAAAGACCTGCTGTGCCTGTTCACCTTGCAGTGTGCCATAGAAATGGTAACTGTGCTCCCTGCTTTCCCTTCTGAGGGTAGATCACACACCATCAGAAAAAAGGCATTCTGAAAAAAAAAAAGGCATTTCATGGGCCTTTTGACAGTGGCTGTACGTGCATGTGTGTGTGAACCTGTGGAGCCATCCTTGCACCCTCTGTGCCTTAGTTCCCTTCTCTGGAATGAGCAGAGGACAGCAGGCCTTAGGAGAACACAGGTCCTGTCTACCAGTGAAGGCTGCAGGTTTGAGTCCCGAGTCCTAGGTCTCAGTTATCCCTGTAGCATGCTGGGCCTCTCCAGAGCCTCCTGGTCACCTCAGGGCCAGTGAGAGGAGCATCAGGGTGCCCAGCAGGGCTGGCCATCCTTGTCCACTGTGTCTAGACTTCCCTTTACTAGCCATCAAAGCCTTGCCTTCCTCTTCGGGAAGCACACTGAGCCCTTGACTGCCCTCTGGAAGGCTGTGTCCTGAATTCACACTCAGCTAAAAGTGACCCAGAGCACAGATCTTTCTCTCTGAGTGTTTTCCCTGCAAGGAGCACTGTTTAGCTTGCTCCTCTACACAAATGGCTCTGACAGGCTGTGTTTCCGCCTGTCCTGGCTTGGGTACAGCCACTGGTTTAGGTCAGCAGACACTCAACTGATCTCCTGTTGTGCTAGCTGTGATGCTTGGTATTTGCGAGACTGGTAGTTCTAGATGGTCGACTGCAATGGAAACTTAACAAATGGTGGCTAACACAAATGACTTGTGTTTTTGCTTTTTTCCCATTTTCATGTGTAGCTGGTAAGCATGTAGGGAGAGAGGCACATGGAGCTGCCCCTCAGGGCAGCCTGTCTCAGGCCCCTTCTGACACCCACAGCTGGTAGCGGTTGTCCTCTTTATCTCTGAATGGTAGCTCAGTTTCTAGACACCCAGCCCATTTCTAGAAAGGACAGAAAAGGAAGGAGAGAGGCTGAGGGGTAAAGCCTTCTCTCAGGGCTCTGTATTTCATTAGGATGACATTTCTGGAAGCCCATTGGCTAGAACTTTGCCATGTGGATTACCCCTTGCAAGGACCAACAGTTTCTTGAGCATCTTCCTCTCCTCTGCAGTGAACAAAGGAGTAGGGTTTGGATGGGTGGTGAGTAAAGCTGGGTGTTTGCCATCATGATAAGGAGGAGCGAGATGGAGCCCCTGAATGAGAAGCTTGTGGTCTGTCCTTTCATTGCTATAAGGAACACCTGAGTCTGGGTAATTTATAAAGCAAAGAAGTTTTCTTGGCTCAGGGTTCTACAGGCTGTATAAGAAGTGTGGCACCAGCATCTGGTTCCAGTGAGGGCCTCGGGGAGCTTTTACTCTTGGCTCAGGCAAAGGGGACCCGGCATGTCACATGGTGTGAGGAAGGCAGCAAGGTGGGAGGAGGTGAACAACCAACTCTCGGAGACTAGTAAAGCCAGAACTCACTCATTCCTGCAGGGGAGGACACCCAGCCATTCGTGAAGGGTCCACCCTCTCTAGGCCTCACCTCCAACACTGGGGTCCACATTTCAAGATGAGATTTAGGGGGGACAGATGTCTAAACTGTATCATGGTGGATGTGTGTACAGCAGCCAGCATGTGAGTTTTCACCTTGCAGCACCCGGCACCTTTCCTGGTGCCTGTCAGCTGAAGGATCCTGACTCAGACACAGCAGTAGTGATTGGCACTATATGCCTGGCATTTTTCTGGGGCTTAAGAGTCAGGTATTCTAGATGTCATTTTATACCAAGGTTCGGAAAGCTCTAGTGACCTTCCCAAGGTCACTTCATATAGGGGATTACTGGGTTGTGAGAACATGTCCCCAGGACCTCAGAGGACCTGGTGCCCAAACCTCCTTTTTAGAGTTCACATGTGTTCAGAGTGAGTCCCAGTGATCCTCTAAGCCCGATGGCATTTGGCACTTTCGTAATCGCAATTTGTACATCCTAAGTAGTAAGGTACCTTTGAAGAGGAAGGAAAGGTGAAGTCACTCCTCTTTGGCCATCAAAGAGGGTTCTGAACTTTCTGTCTTTCAACACAGCACCCGGCAGTGCCACCTGCTCCTGGACGTCTTCAACTCCACTGAGCATGAGCTGACTGTCAGTGCCAGGAGCAACGAAGAGCTTGTCCTGCATGCCGGCGAGTGCCAGCGGTGAGTGTCCCCATGTCCCACATCTCTGTGCTTTCACCACCCTGCTGGGGATACTGTGGATATATTCACCTTCTGACATTTTGGAGGATGGAATGGTCCAGTCTCATCTCCCTTTCAGAGATACTATAGTAGTTATTTGTCTGCGTTGGCTTCAAATTTGAGACAACTATAAGGTGGGTAAACCAGGAGGTATCTGTCTGAGGCAGCAGCAATACATGCTTTCAGATACCACATTTGAAGACTTTGACTCATCTGAGCATCTTACACTTTTAAAATTTGGCATTGATTTGGAAGCTGTATTATTAACATCAATAGGATTTCCTTTGAAGAGTTAATTCTAATAAAAGATAGGCTAGTCTCATACCTTTCAGAGAGGAGCACTGCCACTTGAGCCCAGTCATGGAGGAAGAGAGGGGTGGCACTGTCGAGCCCAGGGAAATGCCCTGGGCCAGCAGAGGTGAATGGGGTCCAGAGGTGGAAGTGAGAACTGGCCAGAAGCAAAGCCAGGGCCGCTCGGAGATATCCCAGGCAGGCAGAGCTCAGTGACTTTGGAAAGATGTCATCCTTCTATGAAATAGCCCCTTGGATGAGCCTGTCTCTCTACCCCAGGCCTTCCTGCGTACCAAGATGCTGTGCCGCCAAGCCCACCCTAGGTTGTGAGGGCATACTCTCAGAGATGGAATTAGAGATGGAATAACATTTTTTATTTTAAATTTCTAAACACTTCAAACATACACAAAATAATTTAGAAACTAACAAGTCCATGTTCTAGTTTAAGCATTTTGCTTTCTTTGCTCCGGATCTGTCTCTCTTTCTATCTCTCTTTTATTTAAAAAAAATAAAATGTTTTAAGAAATAACTGACATTCATATTACTAGTCAGTGAGGAGAGGTGAATGTAAATCACAATAAGATACTCACTACACATGGTGAGAGTAGAAAAGATACCACCAGATGTTGGAGAGGGCATGGAGCCACTGGAACTCTCATGCCTTGTTTGTGGGAATGTGCAATAGTGCCACTGCTTTGGAAACAGATCTGGTACTTCTTTATAAAACTAGACATATACTTACCCTTTGCCCAACTATTTCAACCCTAGTTATTTATTCATTTTTTAGAGACAAGGTCTTGCTCTGTCACCTAGGCTGAAGTACAGTGGCCAGATCAGAACTCAGTATAGCCTCCAACTAGGCTACAGGCACATGTGACTATACCCAGCTAATTAAAAAGATTATTTTTTTGTAGGACAGGATCTCACTATGTTTCCCAGGTTGGTTTTAAACTTCTAGCCTTGAGCAATTCTCTTGTCTCAGCCTCCAAAGTGTTGGCATTATAGGAGTGAACCACCACATTTGGCCAACCCTAGTTATTTATTCAAGAAAGCTATAAAACAGAGTTACAGAAAGACCTATACAAAAATATTCCTGGCCAAAAAATAGAAAGAACCGGGTGTCCATTATAGGAGAATGGAGAAACAGGTGCTGGTATTTTCTTGCACATGGGATGGTACCTTGCAGCAAGAATGAATGGATGGCTTGTACACAGACCCACACGAGTGAGTCTCATGAACACTGTGCTGAGTGAAGGGGACTTTACCCCAAAGAGCACAGTCCATGTGATTACATTTACATGAGATCTTAGACCAAGCAAAACCAGTCCACTATGGAAAAAGGTCATAGCAACATCAGTTCCCTCTGGAGTGGTTTCTAGGAGATCTGAGTGGGAAAGGGGCGGGGTGATTTTCTAGGTGGTGGTCCCAAGGTCTGGTTCAGTAGAGGTCTGGGCTACACAAGCGTGTATGTTTGGGAAAGTCAGCAAATGTTCACTTGAGATTTTCTGTATTTCAAAAAGTGTGAACAAATGTTGAACTCTATTCAGTGACTGAAGGATGTGGGGTCTGTGGGTGGTGTCTGCAGTAGTCTTTGGATGTGTGAAATATTAGGTAGGTGATGGGTGGGCAGAGGGACAGGTGAGGTGAGCAGGTGAGGGTACGGTGTTCACAGCAGCACTTTGCAGTGGGCACACAATATGTCCACTGTAAAATGTTTCAAACTTTGTATTTTAAATTTTTTATGAGAAAATGTTGGAAAAAATAAGCAAAAGAAAAAAATAGCTAAACCCCACTCTCCCGTTCACCCCGTATCCATCTTCTTTCCTCCTCAGGGGGGGTTTCTGACTTGGTGGTGATGGTATCACTCACACATGTGTTGTATACTTTTATTGTGTAATATATATGTATATCCACAACCAAACATTACTTTAAGAGCATTTTTTATTAATGACGTGATTCCATATCATGTATATCCTTTGAAAACTTCTAAAGTAAGAATTATCCTTTAGAGCTAAATATAAATCTAGTTCTTTCATTTTGACTGCTATTAATATTTCATTGTGTAAATATTCCACTTCTTCATTTTCATGTTAATGCACTAAGTGTGGGTGGTTTCTAGGGTGTTCATATGTAATGTGATGACTGTTCATGACATACACGAATGCCAAGTCAGGCCCTGTGGCCCTGTAGTTGGAAGCGAGAGGTCCAATGGCTTGGGGGCAATTTATGGTCTTACTTAGAGAGGGGCCAGTTAACTCTCCTTCTCAAGATCATCTTGTGCTTGTTCCCCCAGACAGAACTCCTCACATAGATGTGGGTGTGTGTGGGGGGGCTCCTGTACTCTTCCATGTATGAACCATGAGGGCTGTGGCTGAATGTGGTGTCTCCGGCCCCTGAGGGTAGACAGGTGCTTTAGAAGTCACTGCTGCATCCTTTGGGGTCTAAGCCACTGGCAGGTGTGGGCCCCTGTGACGTTGTCCACAGTTGTGCAGTGACCTGTCTGTCTCTTCTCTGCTGTGTCTAGGTATTTTGATGTAGCCCAAGAACCCAAAGAACATAAATCTTTTCTTCTTATGACACTAATATGAAACATTTTTCAAAAATTATAAATTGCTAAGCTTGTCAGTATAGTAAGCTTGAATCATTCTTGGCAAGGGAAGGCTGAGTGATATTAGCAGTCCCAGTTGCAAATAATTGTCGTTTATTCCTGTGCTTCAGCTTTCTGCATTATTAAGTTTTTTGCTTAAATTCTCATTTCTCAATGTTCCTAACTTATATATTCTTTCATTCATTCATAAAATATTCATTCAATAAATATTGATACTTCAAGAACTTGCGGTGTGGTCCTGCAGCAGGCTCCAGGAGCGCTGAGATGAATAAATAAGGACTTCTCCCAGCTGGGGAGTGCCACAGTGTGACAAGTGTCTGCTCTTTCTAGGGCAGTCCCACCTCTGTGCCTGACCAAGGCATCTTGTTATCCTGGGGGCAGTGGGAGCAGTGGGAAAACTAGAGGTTGCGACTGGAGGTTGTGGGAAGACTAGAGGTTCCATTGCTCTGGGATATCATCGTGGGTACCTTCCCCAGTGTCTCCACTGCCAAAGACACCCGCTAACCCAGGGTGACTCTGCCATGAGTCCTTGCTTGGGAGGTCTAAACCCTGAGAGTCAGCATGCAGAGAAGTACTTCCCTTCCCTTTCTTAAACCTCTTTTGCCTTGCCAGCCTCCTGGGATCAGAAACCTTCACTGAGGGGCCCAGAGGAAAGGGGCGGTAGCTATATGTTACCGGACAGCACCTGCAGACCATGGCCTTAGACAATTCCTGATACATCCAGGCTTTGTCTCCTCAGTGTCCTGTCTTTCCCACAGCCCCGAGCTTCATGCCTCTCCTGCCTCTCCCATTCTCCTATGAGGAGCCTTTCCTGCCACTCCTCGGGCTTTGCTAGACACCCAAGCAAGCTTCTCTCTGCCTGGGCTTTGCCACTCTGAAGTGGGCAGAGGGTGGGCTCTGCTGTGGGTGGATGCTAGTGTTGCTCAAGACTCCATCTTTATCTCTTTACCAGGACGGCAGTGAGCGATGCACTTACTGTTCCCTAGGAAGAGCGTAGGTGCACAGTGCTTTCTTCTAGAGCAGTTTTCTCAACCCTTTGTTTTAATTGTTAAAAAGGGGTTGCAACCCATAGGTTGAGAACTGCTGTTCTAGAGAGAGCACAGCCTAGTCTGAAAAGAAGAGCCATGTTCCCGGGATTCACGTGGCATTGATGCTGCCCTCTGCAGAACCTGGGCATTTAAGGGTGGTCTGCAGTCTGAGAGCGAGAACAAGCCCAGTCAGTAGAGCCTGCCTACTTCCCTTCCTCCTGATAGAAAGAGGCGATCTTGTTTGACCTAGTGTAAGAGCTGAGGGCAGAGATGCTCCCCGGCAGCAGGAAGGAGGAACAGCGTGCTCCTAGGGAAGAAGGGGGGAGCAACATCGACGTACCGTTTCCCATGTGAAATCACAGTCGACCTCCTAAAGGCATCCTGAGGGAGATTGGCTCTCATTTTATAGATGAGCAAACTGAGTGAGGTGGTCAACATCACTGAGAGGGAACCACATCTGTCTCATGCCAAGCGAAGGAACTTTGATGTGAGCCTGGGGTGATGTGGGAGAGGCTGTGGCAGGGTTGTGGGGACCACTTCTGTTCATCCTTCTTCTTTCTGCTCCGTGTGACCTTTGGTAAATTGCATTCAGCATTGTTAAGAATGACGCTAGTCAGCAGAAGAAAGGCTGAGGCAGAGGAGCAGGTGAGATCTCTGGCTTCCGGGGTGTTCCTGTGTTCATCAGCAAACTTTTTCAGTCTGCTGGGAGTGAAGCTGGCCAGTGGATGTGGTGCAGCTTGTGCTTCACTACACTGACACTTTGGTACGGAGGAAGAGCACATATAGGCATCGTGACACAGCACGAGGACAGTTGAAGGTACAGAGGGGCAGAGGAAGGTGGCCGAGAAGGCGTCCTGGCAGAGGTGGCATAAACATAGAATCCATCTTAGCTTGCTTGGGCTGCTGTAACAAACCCCCCCACAGACATGGGTGTCTTATGAATAGCAGAAATTTATTTCTCACAGTTGTGGAGGCTACAGGTCCAAGCTCAAGGTGCCAGCAGATTCTGCATCTGGCAAGGCCCCACTCCCCGG